CCTCCCGCGAACGATCAATCACCAGCCCCCCCGGCCCACCCCACCCCAGCCCTACGCGCGGGGCTGCGCGGGGCTGCGCGGGGCTGCGCGGGGCTGGCGGGCGGCCGCGGGGCGGCGGCGGCGGCCCGGATCGCTTCTGCATGACAATTGGCGGGGGGCGGGCGCGGCGAGGAGGGCGGACGGCGGCGGGTCCGCGTTCTCACCATGGTGATTAGGCATTCGGGCCGTGCGAGGCGGCGGCCGCCGGGCGGAGCGGCGCGGCGGGCAGCGGGCGCGGGGGAGCGGGCGCGGGCGCGAGCCCCGCCGGCGTGCGGGCGGCGCGCCGAGCCGCGCCGAGCCAGGCCAGATGGCTCTGCGGGGCCATCAGGGACCGCCGCCGTCCAGCCCGGCCCCACTTTAGCTGTGCAAACATTTCTTTATCCCAACAAGACAATTAAACCCGGCCGCCTGAAAAGGAGGCTCCGGGGCTGCGACCGGCCAGGAGGAAAAGCGCGCCCGGACCCGGGGCTCTGGCGTCCCCTCCCCGCCCCCCGGCTGCGGAGGGGACCCGGGGCGCGGCAGGACCCAGGCACGGGCCGAGGGAGCAGCGGCGGGCGGGAGCTGAGCAGTCGGCGGCGCGGAGGGGCGGCCCGACCCTCTCGCCACGGCTTGCTCCCTGTGCGGCGCTCACCCGTCTGTCTGCTCCAGCTACTGGCGCCCAGGAGTTGAGCCCGTCACCCGCGCACTACCCAGAACGTTCTCGGCGAGGGTCGGTCTCCTCCAAACCCGGATCAAGAGTCTGCCTAGCCCTTGCAACACACACACACACACACACACACACACACACACACACACACACACACACACACACACACCCTCACCACCCGCCCCGTGCAACTTCCTCCGGGTGGTCCAGGGCCTGTGTGGGCTCAGCTGATCTCATTCATGGGACCAGGGTTTTCCATAGAAAAGAGCTTTGATCAGGTCCCATCTGTGAGTCCAGAAACCCCATTTCCCACTGAGAGTTTGGGGCCGCCCCAAATGACTTCCAGGGCTTCGGAGATGGGAGCAGGGCGGACCCTGCAGGAACTGCCGCAGCCCCAGCAGGGACCACAGAGGCAGGACAGCTGGTGGTTAGCAGCTGTGCATCCACGGGACGAGAGAGTGGGTTCCTCCTCCACCGGGCAGCCCGGGGCCCTCTCGGGAGCGCACAGAAGCACCAGCTCCAATTGGCAGAGTGACCAAGTCCTGTGTCACCAGGCAGGCAGGCGGCGAGACCCAGGGGTGACCTGAAGAGATGGGTCAGGAACTACACATGCTAAGAGCCAGAGGGGATAATAAATGTGTCCATTCTAGTACAGCAGCAGACAATACTTATCTCCCCTTTTGTTGTAAAGTTTCCTTAATGAGGAAATGTTTATTTTAAAAGCCCTGGGAAACATATCTGTAGACACTTCATATGAAAGACACACGTGGACTATTCATAATTGGTCCATAAATTTTCGCTTCATTTCCCTGGACAAGGAGCCTTGGAGACTGGTTCCGGGATTGACAATAAACGGGAGTTACCTCAGTTCCCTTCATGGGGAATTGCGTCCTCTGTGCAGGGCTTCTCACCAAACATTTCTCCCTTTTCCAGGGCAAGTCAGTCAATCCTGGCAATTTTGTCCCCCTCTGAGGCCCCAGCACCTCCTTCACCTGCCACTCCAGGCAGATGAGCAGAGCAAGCAAACTGGAATCCTCTACTCCATGAGACAATACTTTAGTCAGCTACAATTCTTTCTAACACACACACACACACACACACACACACACACACACATTTCATTAGAAGAGAAAGGCTACCCAGGTTTTAGGAGTGAACACGTGTGCGCTGCCCCATGCGTGCAGACCCCGCTCTCAAATGCTCTCACATGTGGACAGCTGTGCATATGGAGGCAGTGTGTGAGCAGGGGGTGGCTGCCACAGTGAAAACGCTCAGTGTTTCCATTGTAAAACTGATTTTTTCACTGACCTAAAACTCCGTCATAAAACTTCTGCTCTAAGTAAGGTCACACACACACACACACACACACACACACACACACACACACACACACACCTCTTTAACAAAACTTATGCCAAGTGCTAATTAAGTCTTTCTGCTACAGATCACTGACACACTATTTTTACATGTTCTGGAAAAAAAAATTTTATTTATATGAAGAGAACTGAAAACTGAAGTTAATCGTATCAGAAATTAACTCTGAGTTTCAAGAACAGAAAGCTAGACTACAGATGGCTCATTCTGGCCCTCTGAGCAAAAGGCCCCTGCATGCTGTTCCTTGTTCCCTGGAACACTCCTCTTTCTCCTGGCCTCCCTGCTGCCCCCCTTGCCCCAGCTGCCCGCCCAGCTCTCCCCTTGGAAGCTGTCTTGTATACTGTCACTCGATTATCAGAGAAATATTACTTATTTCAGAACGGTTCTGTAGGGAGGACCTGAAAGGCATCTAGTGGGAATAATCAGGCCTTCTAACGGCCCTTAAATATGTATTTACATAAAACCGACCATAAATATTCCGGCACACGTCGGCATATGACAAGAGCCAGGAAGCTGCTACAGACTTTGTCACGGTGCCTCTTCCGTGCTTCCTACAGAAAGGGAATGTTTCTCCCGCCTGCCTCCAAACTCAACAGCAGAAGTACAGATGCCACTCGGGAGAGCCCCTGAAGGCTGCCATCGGCCTCCGGCAAGGCCAGGAGAAAGGCACTCAGTGCCAGGGCGTGCCCGGTGCCAGTCTCCTCTTCACTTTGCAGCTTGGCTTCTGGTTAAGGATCAGTCCCAAATGCAACTCTAGGTAATAATGTGGGTGTACAAACCTACTACACAGATGGACACATCTAAAGGTTTAACGTTTGTGTAAGAGAAGAGAGGGAACACAAGTACTCTCTAAAAGAAGAATATTTCAAACAAATATTCTTAGGAGGGGAAAGAGCTCCCATATCTGTGTCGTGACAATTGGAAATGCAGAAGTTTCCCCACCCTTCTGATCAGAATCTCATTAATTTCAAGGTCAGAATTCCATTTCACTTTGGGAGCCAGACTCATTTAATTTTTCTCCACCCAGGCGTATTCCTGTGCAAGGGATCCATCTCCAGGGGGGATGGCACCACCGCACAATGCAAACCAGGCAAACAGAAGAGTTATGGCTTTGACACTCAGAGGGGGATGGATAACCATATCTCTGAGTTCTGACTTGACTAACAAGCTTCCTCCCTCCGGAGGAGGGTGTGGGGGGGATGCTGAGGCAGGTTTGGTCTACAAGGATGGAAAACGGGAGATGCACTGTGTTAGAAGTGAAGAAAAGATTGGGAATCTTCAGGAGTTACTTTGTGTATACTGGAGATTTCAACTCCTACTGGAAGGGGGAAAAATTGGGGAAGAATCCGGTCACACCCAAGCCCAGGGCATTTTTAGCCAGTGGTCTGAATACAGCCTGTCTTGCTCCCATGCACACCGACAAATGAAAACACAAATAAAATCAAGCAGCTCGACAGCACGGCCATCCACATTCAGCTGGTCTACCCGAACACACATGTCAGCTGCACCCAGAGGGAAAAGGAGGGAGAGGTTGGAGCAGAAGTGAGAGCCCCCCGGCAACGTGCTTGTCACACGCAGCCTCCTCCCTGCAGTGGGGAGGTCTCGGGCTTACAGACGCTGACATAAAAGACACACTCACAACATATTTCAAAACCAAAGAGCGATGGATTTACAAGGCAGGTTGATTTTATGATGACTTTTATTGAAAAGGTATGCTGGGTTTAGGCAGATGCCTTTTAGCGCAGGAAAGTTAACACAGTGCCTAATTCAAGGAGACAGCCTGAGGAAGCAGTGCCGACAGGGGAGAGAGCTGCAATGTCTCTATTACTCTCCTCGGCATCATAAAGAGAAGAGAACAAAATGGTCTTCGTGTGGGTGGTTATAGAGAGGACGGGAGCACAAAAAAAAAAAAAGAGAGGGGAAAGCAACCCTCAGATGTCGTTTTCTTAAGAAAATAAAAGGGATCAGGTCTTAGAACAAAACAAAGGGTTGGATGGGGAAAAAACACCCTCACTTCATAAACTCTCACCAGGCCTGAAGAATATGGCTCTGTCTACCCCAGCCCCAAAGCTTCAAGTCACAATTATTTTCTCATTAGGTCAGAAGAGAAGATGGCAGGGTTCAACTCTCCTCATCTACCAGCTCCAAGGACAGGTTTGGTTCCAACAATTAGTGAGTATCAGAAGAGCCCAGCCCAACACTCCAAGAATAGGAGAAAGCTGTTCCATAAGCAGAAATTAACAACAGTTGTGAACATCAAATATGAAGCAATCACCCAGGTCAACCGTGTCTAGTCCTAAAAGTGAGTCCAGGAGAAGCATCCAGCAAACCTGTTAAATCCCCAGGGAAGTCAGGCTTTCTAGCCTTTCGATGGCAAGGAAAACACAGCTGTGGGAAATGCTTTATGGTGATTGACGACACCTTTATCCTCTGAAAAACAGCCTGATGTGGACAAGGGCTGTGAGTTATGAAAATAAAGTCATGTATAGTCTGCTGCATGGGGCGCAATGGAAACACTCAACAATCATACCAAGATCAAAGAAACTTGATGAGGAGAAGGAATGGAGAAGTTTCTTCAAGATCCACCCCTTCGTCCCCAACCCCAAGTCCCCTAGGAACCCTCCACTTTTTAATGAAATGACATTCACTCCAGTACATATATGGCACCCATCTTTCACTTCGGAGTCCCCAGAGACTTAAGCCAAGCGTGCCCTGGAGAGAAAGGCAGTGTGAGGCCAACTTGCCTCTGGCTACCTTCAGGTCAACATTTCCAGCAAGGGCTGTCAATGGCCCTGGACAAGGAACTCTCAGCCCTGTGCAGTAGAAGGGGGCTGCCCCTTCCCACTGCTCGGAGGCAGAAAGTGACCTCAGACCTGTTGAACACTCATTGGAAGGCGGGGCCTGACTGGGAGGAAGACAGGGCTGGCACCCAAGTACTTACATCTGTCATTCCGATCCTCCGGGCTGGATGATGCTTCCCGATCCGAAATGAGGCCTGAGACAGCAAAAATCTTCTTCCCAGTGTCATCGACCTTAAGTGAACCAGGGGAGCTAGATGGCAGCTGTGTCCCAAAGTCATATTCCTTGCCATCAGCATCTGAGAAGCGCAAGTGGGGAGACTCTGTGTCATGGCAGTTCTTAAGTCGCTTGGCCGGCGTAAAGGCTGACTGATAGCTCTCCCGGTCCTCAGTGGAAGCGAAGGGACGGAAAGCCCCCACGCCACTATGATTCAGCATACTGATGGGAGTGCAATCTAGATTTGGGGGTGCAAATTGAGGGTGGAGGTGCAGTAAAGAAGGGGGGAAATCACGATTGGCAAAAGTGCCCGGTACCCCACCTTGCCGATGGTACATCGAGGCAAAGGTGTAGGAACCATTGGTGAATGGGATGTGCACGTCCTTGTCTACCGAGACAGGTACGCCAAAGGGGCGTGGCTGCTGGCATGGGATAGATGCATCACGGCTGGCCTCTGCTGTGGACGCCAGGACCATCAGTGCTGGCGAGGCCAGTGGGTTGGGGAGGTAGGATGAGTTCTCCATCTTGAAGGCTGCCCGGTGTAAGTCCATCGGAGTGTCTTTCTGCGGCCGGTGTCACACAAGAAGCAGCAGTCCCTGGGAGGGAGGCCAAGGGGCACCTTGGATCAGGGCAGCAGGTATTACTGGGGGATCATCCCCTCCTGTGACCTGCAGAAATAGCGAAGAGGGGAAAAAAAGAGGGAGGACCGTCAGGGCAGGGAAAAAAAAAAAAGAAAAGGAAACCCCCAAGTGATTGAAACACCATCCTTCTGGCTTACAGATACTCAGGCAAGAGACACCACGGGCTTTAGGAGCCAGTGGGCAGTAGCATCAGACCATTTTCATTCAGGAAAATCAATAGACAACTTACTGTGATGTACGCGTAGCTGACTTTGGTCCCTACACGTTCCGGGTGAAATGCGCCTGAGCCCAGCAAAGGAAAAAAAATCATAAAACCTCCAAATACAATATTCCCTGAGCAAATGAGCTTTGGAAGGCCAAGTCACCCAGTAGATTAGGGGGCTTTTGTTTTCTACAAGGTGCCCACCTGCATACGCCAACCGTGGCTGGCCTGAGGTGCAGGTTCTTCCCAGACACAAAGGCACATCTTTTCTTCATCTGATCTCTAACAATTCCTGGTACCAAAAAACTCCTAAAACAAGTACATCAAGACACTGTGCATATTTGTTGGTACATACAGGGTCTGTGGGTAAATCACACACATTGACACATACCTACAGGCATATCTTCATGTACCATCTAAGACCTATTTTCAAAAATGACTGTTTTGCAAAGAGATAACAGCAATGTTAATTTCGAAGCACACCCCTCTTTAATCATACAGTCTTTCTCTCTTCTGAAAAGGAACAGAACCTTCATCAATAAAATGCCTGACATCTCTGACAATATTTAAAAACATAATAGGTGCCTTTGGCATATCTTCTCTGAAAGATTTTTTCTAACAAGGGCAGCAAAGAGCAGATGGGTAATTTTAGTTATGAATGCACCCACTCTTAAGTAGATTTGTAAACTGCCTTGAATTTGCCATTAACATTTAGAGCAAAATGTTAACAAAATTTTTGACTTATTTTGCTTGGCTTATTGGCCCAGTCAGAGTCCATGTCCGAGAAAGGCCCCTGGAACAAACTGGAGTTGGGAGAGACTTCTTTCAATTTCCTTTCCAATGAGGTTTTCTGGTAAATTGTGCCTTTTCATGGTCACTGATTCTGGTTTAAAATTTATTTTGCTGGGGGAGGAGGGTAGCTGGTGGGAAGGGGGAGGAGGACTCGCTATCAAAATTCAGAATAAATAAGATAAATACTTGGATTTATTAGCTTCAGAAATATAACACTAAATAGGAACTTAATGAAACTCAAAGTGTGACCCCCCAAATCACCATCTGCTACAAATTATACCTTGAAATTGAGTCATGTCTCAAATAAAATCTCCCCCTCCCTTAAACAACCCCACCTGGCATAGCTTTGGTAATTCCCTCAAACAGAGAAAACTTGGCTAAACTGTAGACGAATCCTCCAGACTTAATGCAGTGCAAAGAGAGTATTTCCTTCTCCCATCCTGTAGCAGACGTGTCAATGAGTGTTATTAATTGGGAAGATGAGTGCACACCATCAGACTGCTTCCTCATTTGGCATCTTTCCTTATAGACATCATTGCTAAATTACCAGATTATGTATCTCACATTAACGGATTTTTCTCTCTTCCAAATTTTAAATAACTTTCCTGTCAAGTTGTAGCAGTGGCAGTGCAGGGAAGGATCTGCCAAGGACAGCCAGTTAGTCTGACAAGTCTGGGAATCCTGTTCTTGGCTGTTTTCATGTCAGATTAATGGTTGCCCAACATGGACGCTCTCGAGGTGGGTCTAGGGCTGTTGCAGGGGTTCCAAGCAGCTCTGCCCAACAGCAATGGCTACTTGTCTATCCACAAGCAGCATCATGGAGGCAAGCTGGAGAAAAGGGCACACACAATGCACCCCGGTGAGAGGAAGGAAGGAGGGGAGGAGTGTGACCCCCACCCCCAAATAACCATAACCAAGAGGATTTGCTTTCTCTTTTAACTTCCTAGATCACCTCATTATGTTAAATGAGTTTCATAAATTAGTAATCTGGCCACAGCACCGGACACTCCAACAGAACAGGGTGAATCACTCAAACCTGGTTATTCATTTGAAACTTCATTAGGCGGAAAATAAATCAACAATATTTTCCAGGCCACATCTCTTTTGCTCCACCGTGTGGGCGTTGGTCTCCGTGGGGGATGGGGGGGTGCTTTCTCTATTTTCCCTTTTCTTTCTTACCCCTCCTCACATGAACAACTTGTATAGACGAGGCTTCAGCAGACCACAGTCATTATGAAAATCTATAGTTAATACACTCCCAATGTCAAAATGTCATGGGTTTAAACACAGAACCCAAAATAAGAAAACTAACTGACCCTCTTAATTAAAAAAATATGGATTGTAAGATAATCAGCTTGATGGAACATTTGGGCGACTGTAAAGAACCCGGGCAAAAGGAAAGTAAGTAACTGTTACTTTTCTGCCTCTATGCTGATTTTTTTAAATTTAGCACTTCGTGCAAATCCAGATTAAAATAACTCCAGCTATTGATCCGAGCAGTGGAATTGACATTAATTTTAGTTCACTTCTCACTTTGCAAAGGGATCAATAGGAAGTAATAACAGCTGACATCCCCGCTGAAAGGAGGAGAAAGAAGGGCCGAAGACAGAAATCGAAAAGCAACCAAATAAATCATCAGCTACTTTTCCACGGCATCAGACAAACTCCAAACAGATTGCAAAAAGTCTTTGTTGAATTAACTAAACAAGGAGGGGGGAAATCAATCCACGAAGCTAAATAAATTGTCTGGCAGGCAGTGAGGTTGGACGGAGGGACCAGCAAATATTGAGTCTTAAAATGTTCAAATCCTTGACGTGATGAGTTGGGCTCAGTTCTGTGAGTGTGAGTGTGTGTGTGTGTGTGTGTGTGTGTGTGTGTGTGTGTGCGCGCGCGCGCGGTGGGGAGTTTGTTAAATCACCCACCGACCCTAGTGGAACGCCGTTACAAAACGCCAGCTCACTGAATAATTAGTGAGATTACTAATTGCGTGGTGAAACGTGCCAGCACCAAGACAAATGAAACGAGGACGCTGGCCTGGGGAGCCTGCGACGGTCCGCGGCTGGGCTGCGGCGCAGCGCTCCGGCTCTCGGGCGCGAACCAGTTACCCTCGCACGCAGAAGCAGAACGCCAGCGAGAAAGTCAGAGTGGGCAAGCGCCTCTGCCCAGCCCGGGGCAGCGTCCGACCTGGCTGGCCCGAGCCACTGCCCGCGGGGAAGGAAGCGGCGCGGCGACCGCGGCAGCGGGGAGTCCAGCCCCTCGCCAGGGCTTGCTACAAAGAAGCGGCGAGGCGGGTCCCCGGAGCCGAGCTCCGAGCCACTGAGACGCACACACCGCACGCCCCTGCTCATCCCAACAGGTGACACTTGGTAGGCTCGGAACCGTTTCCAGGAGCCAGGAATCAAAATAATACAACACATGAAACCCTGTTCTCCCTTTTGATAGGTCAACTTTTTAAAAAATTAACGGGCAACTTAAAAAAAAAAAGAAGAAGAAAGAACAATGGGGAACAAGACCAGCAGGGAAAAGGGCGTCGATGAACTCGAGAAAGGTGTTTTTTGTTTGTTTGTTTTTAAAGTTCACAGACTTCGCTGGAAGAGAATTATCGCGCACTGAAGGAAACTGAATGTTCTGCTCTAACAGAAACTATGTCCCCCCGCCCCCCACCTGCGAGGGCTGGGGACGCCAGAGGCCACGGCGGAGCTGGGGCGCAGATGTGGGCCGGGACCCCAGCAAAGACGGATGCTCGGGTGCAGTGCCCAGCCGGGCCCGCCCGCCTGTCCGAGCGCGCGACGGCGGGGCTGCGGGCTCAGCGTGCGGGTGCAGAATCCGCCGAGCCTTCTCCACCGGGGAGAAAGCAACTCTTTTAGGGAAAACGGAAGACGCGGCGGGAAGGGCGATAGCGATCCAAACTTGGGGCCCACGCCAAGCTGGGCCCTGCCACTCCTTAGCCTGACCTCTCTCTTAGCCCGGTCTCCGCGGCCTGTGCACAAAGAATATTCCAGGTGCCCCGCTATCTCCGCACAAAACCATCTGCGGGTAACGGGGCAGCTGGGGTACCCACCCGAGAAGAAGGTGTCGGTGCGAGGGGCCCCCCGTCCGCAGCCAGGTCGGGCCAACCGGGCAGGGCCTCGGAAGGGATTTGCCTTCGATCAAAGTCCGAGGAAGGACCTCGTGCCCCTGGACAGCCCCGCCCCGCGGGTCACTCGGGTCCCCTCGCCGCGCGCCGCCGCCCCGGCGGGCGGCCACCCGCCTCCTGGATGGCCGCGCTCCCGCAGATAGGCGCCCGCGCGGGGAGCGCGCTCCTCCCGGGCTGGGGACCCAGGGCTCTCCGGCCGCCGCACCCCAAGGGCGCGCAGAACAGGTGTGTCCGCCCGGCTCGCTCCGCTCCCAGCCGGGGTCCTGCTGGGTCCCCGCCCGACCCTCGGCCTTCCCTCCTCGCCCCGGGGCGCAGCGAGCCAACTCACGCCACTCGGGCTGGGTCTCCGCGGACCAGCGGCGGTGGCCACGGGAGATGCCCGCGGTGCGTTTCCTCGACGCTCCTGCTGCCTGTCCCCCCTCTCCGCCCAGTTTCCACTTGCCGCGGGGGGAGGAAGAAAAAAAAAACACACACACACACCGAGACGCACCGAGGCGGAGGCCAGACACCCCTGCTGATTCCGCTCCCTCCAAGCTGCCTTGCCGCGTCCACACAGCCCGCCCTTTTCTCTCTTTTCTTTCTTTGCCTTTTGCCCCCAAACCAAATCCAGGGCGAGGACGAGCGGCGAGACGAGGGCAGTGGGCATCGTGGGCACCGCGTGCCCGGGTCTTGGCCTGCGTGAGACCGCAGAGGCGGCGCAGGCCAGGGACCCCCCGGGCGCTCCGGCCTGGCCTGGACGGGCCGCGCCCCACCCCGAGCGACCCTGCCCCCTGCACCCACCCAGGCAGACGCGCGCCCGGCTCGCGGCCGGTGCTCCGGCCCTCCCAGGGGCGGCGATCGGGCCCGAGACAGCAGCGCTTTCTTTGAACGCCCGGCCAGAGCTCTTCCTGTGCC